TTAAAATATGATATGAGAAGACATTTTTCTTTATTAATGACATGAGTTAGTTCCTAAGCAGGCTTTAATGGAGAATTTATTGAAAAAAATGGAAAAGGTTTCATACTATTATTTCAACTACAATCTTTTCTCAAATTTACTCTCGAAAACTATATTTTAAGCTTGCATTTGTTAATTTATAGATGCCAAATGATATTCATCAAAAGTAGCAACTACATCTTACTGATTTTTGCAGAGCCAGTGCCTAGCAGAGTACCTCACATTTAGTAGATACCTAACAGATTTTTCCTAACCAGATATTTGGTTGACTTTGACTTTATAATGCCAGGCCTAGAACACAGTACTATTAAGTGAAAGAGGTAAAAAAACAATTTCTATTTGATTTTTAACTTGAAATGTTTTAACATATGAAACAAACCTTTAAATTAAAAAAGTAAAGATTACAAGCATTGTGTAGCTTCTAAAAGTATTCCAAGGTTGGGTTACTTTTTTGTACAAATAAATCGCCATGTACTATGTTCCCGTCACTGAGTTCAACAATTCATATAAATGCCCATTATATGGGCATTTGATGATCTTTTTTTTTTTTCTTATATTACCAGTGAATATGTGGGTGGGCAAAAGAAGGCTTACAGTTGTGAGTATGCAAAATGCGGTTTATTCTTGTATTCTTATTTATTAATTATTGTATTATATTCCTACTTTTGCCAACCCCTGTATATATTTCAGGCCTGTACAGAAAAATGATTCACACTCATGTCTGCTCCTAAAGTTTTGGAAAAATGTCACATTAAGAAGCTAGTATAAATCTTTTAAGCACAGACATAATCAGAGACTAATGAAATGACTCATCTTAAGGAGGGGTAGAAAGAATGATCTCTTCTTTGAACTAATTATGTTTTTATGATTACCAGAAAAGGGAACTTTAAAGTCCATCCACTACCCTAGCCAACTCATCCTCCATATTGGGTGGCAGGTAGGGATATGGTCATTTAGGAACTGAGAACTTAGTCACTGTAAGAAGGAGGAATGAGGTCAAGTGTTTCGTGCAGACAATACAGGCAGAGCTAGTACTGCTAGTTATATGACCATTCATTCCCTTATCCAATTTACTAAAAATCAAACAACATGACAAATCTAGATTAGGATGATGAGGATAAAGGCAACCAGGAAGCCTGCTAAACCCCAAAATTCTTCTAGTTCCCTAATGAAGTCACTCTCCCAGAAATTGACACACAAGCCATTATTTCTTTGATAATAAGACAACAGAAACATAGATCATTTTTCCTATATCAGCACACTAGCAGAATTGGAAATACAAAATATTATAATACAAATAACTATGGTTTTGCTGAGACTTTTGTAGTGTTCCAGAGACTGTTCTACCATTAACTGGATCAACAACAAAGGTCAGGTAAAGAGAGGAAACCACACAGAAATATGGTTCATATTATATAAGTATTTCTGACTTCTTACAATCTTTGTCTTCTGACAATCTTTATGAAAAACCCTAAGCCTCTCTTTAACTTTCTTCAAATACTTACTAAACATTTTGCACACAAAAAGCAAGAAATCACATTTTACTTTAAATAAGGATGAAAGTAATGACAAAGTAAATTACATAATCTCATATATTCAGTTTCTCATTGTTTTTTTAAAAAAGATTTTTTTTGAGAGAAGAGAAGGAAAAAGATAGGAAGAGAAACATCAATGTGTGGTTGCCTCTCAGGCATTTCCCATTGGGGATCTGGCCAGCGACCCAAGGCATGTGCCCTAACTGGAAATCAAACCAGCGATCCTTTAGTTCCCAGGCTGTGCTCAACCCACTGAGCTATACTAGCCAGGCCTCAGTTTCTCATTGTTGACTCTCTTTAATCTTGGTCTTAAAAATTCAATTCGGTCCTGGCTGGTGCGGCCCGAACCAATCCAGGCTTGGTTCACAGGCCAGATTGAGCAATGGCCTGCAAACCAAAGGGTCACAGGTTCAATTCCCAGTAAGAAGAGCACCTGCCTGGATTGCAGGCCAAGTCCCCAGTAGGGAGTGTGTGAGAGGCAATTACACATTGATGTTTCTCTACCTCTTTCTCCCTTCCCCTCTCTAAAAATAAATTTAAAAAAATTTTTTTAAATCTGTAACAAATATACAACATGCTGGACATTATTTAATTATATATACACCCAGAGCCAGTCTTCTCAAAAAGAGAACAAATTTATGCATGTTATCACATATGCCCATGCATAAGTAATCATACATTTTATAAGCATTTCCTTAATTTTTAAAACGTATGAAAATACATGGCATGATTATTTTATACATAATGGTACAAGAGAAAGGATTATATCAATTTTTAACTGTAACATTAAATTTCACAGTAATTCATTTGTTTGATCCTGAAGGATAAACCTTTCAAAAAGCATCAAATTATCTATTTTTGGGTGATGAGGTAAAGATTTGAAGGTCTGTTGACTGAAAAAAGAGTATACTATAACAAATCTAATTACTAAACAGCTGCAGATTCTAAAAAGAGTTTTTATTACCCTGAGTTAGGCACTAATCTATGATTTAAATTTTCTATCCAGCGATATCTTTTTAGATGCATTAAAGGAAAAAAACAACAATACTTAGAGAACTGGCCTGTGTGTCCTTCATTTAGTGAAGGGCTGTAAAAAGAGATGTTTTCAGATGCAATCTCATTTTTAAAGCATCTCTTCAGACAAAATGTAAGCCACACAAGGTTAAGGAAACTATGGTTTACTCATCTTTGAAACTCAAAGTGCCCTACACATAGCCACTAGGAATCAAAGTTCACACGGTTTCCCAAAAGCAGAAATGCCTGTTCTCATCCACTTTCACTCTGGGCCCATCTTGCTGGCACTAACAGTGTGCAGTGCAAACCACTCACTACAGGTAACAAGCATATTTTAACAAGCAAGTAAACCAGATATATGGAAAGATAAGAGCAACATATTCAACTGATAATTTTTTTAAACATGAAAAGACAGAGGAGAGCTTACTTACATAATAAGGTCAAAAAAGGTATGGGGGAAGGGTCAGAGGAAAAAGTGTGACAAAAACAGAGAAAACTTTGTAGGAAGACTTGCATTATAGATCAGAAATTCTTGGATTTTAAAACTCAAGGGTTAAGATTAAGAACTGAAGCTTCCATTTGCTATGGAGGTATTATGTTCAGAAATCAAATTTAACTTGGAAACCAATAACCTATTTTCCCTTTGTATTATCCACCCAGGAATTTTATTTCATTTTATTTTTTTAAAGATTTTTGTTTATTTATCTTTACAGGGGAAGGGAAGGAGAGAGGGAAAGAAATGCCAATGTATGGTTACCTCTCGTGCGTCCCTTGCCGGGAACTGGCCTGCAACCCAGGCACCTGCCCTGACTGGGAATGGAACCGGGAATTTTATCTTTTTTAATCTTTAGAAATTTATTGTAAGTCAAAGCAACTCATTAAAACCATAGAATTTCATTAGAGACCTTCCCATTTGCTTAATTTCAAACTCCCATAATATTTCTTCACATATTCAAGATGCTAAATTTACTTTTATTGTATTTGTTATTCTAAATTATTAATCATCCTACAAGAATCAATAGTATTCAAACCATTTTTTGAGGATTTACTGGCAGAGATCTTCAGGCAATTATTACCAACACAAAATTATTTGATCAACCAATTTCAAGAACAGAAAATTCACTGAATTAAAAAGATTTGTGAGCTAAAACCCAAATATGTACCAACTGTCATAAAGCCTTAAATACAAAATGTAAGTAATATTTTGCATATTGGAAAGAAAAAGCAAATATAAAAATCACATCATTGCCCTGGCTGCTATAACTCAGTGTACTAAATGCTGGCCTGCAAACCAAATGGTCACAGGTTCAATTCCCAGTCAGAGCACATGCCTGGGTTGCAGGTCAGGTCCCCAGTTGGGGGCACACAGCGTGTGAGAGGCAACCACACACTGATGCTTCTCTTGCTCTTTCTCCCACCTTTCCCCTCTGAAAATAAATAAATAATTTTTAAAAATCACACCATCTTTATTTATGCATATATACACATACATACATGTTATAATAGATTTGTGAGTTTAAATGGCTTGGGCTAAATTGCTAAACTCATTTCACATATAAATTACCTATAGCATTATAAAATACCACAAAAAAACCTTTAAATTTTGGTCTTAACAAGTTACACACAAAATAGCATGAAGCCAGACTATTAATACTCAGACTATGTATACCATAATAGAAAAATATGTTATTGCTTTAACACTTGCCATATTATTTGTTTAATTGAGGAATAATACACATATAACATATTAGTTTCAAGTATACAACATAATGATTTGATATTAGAAAACTTACCATCTAAAAGTTAGTCTGTGAGTAAAACATGCTTACCACTGAACAACAGCTATGGAAACTTGAAAAACTTACCTGAATAAATGGAGATTATTATCATAATCAAGTAATTTATATAACATGATTCCTTTCAAGGCTGTTCAAGGATTATCAACTATAGCCAGTAATCACAATCATACACTATTAACGCCATCCCCATTTCATAATCAAATACCTATCCACGATTCACTTCAAAATCTGGATTCAGATACATCAAGCATTATAAGTTATTGGGTGTACATGAAAAATACTGACTGAATGAAATTATTCACTGCTCCTAAGTACCTGAATATAAATTCATCACCACCTTGGTTTCTTCTCTACTACTTTTTCTTTTCCCAATGGGCAACTTTTCACCTATACATAGGTCAGCTGAAAAAATAGCACATGATTGCAAAGAACTAATGATTACCTAATTGTGATAAAGCTTGTCCCAAATAGTCTCCCTTCTCTGGGTTCACATATTAATTCTATTCCATAAACATCATTATTATAGCCAGACAGTTCTAATTATATGCCCATGTGCACAGAATACTACATTAGTTTCAAAACAGTAAAACACACGATATTTTCTTGCACTTGCCTTGTGTCTGCATTTAAGTACAACTCCATAGGCTCCTGTAATAAAAAGAAATAAACAGTTGGGACCAATATACAAATTACAGCTCTTGTAGAAGTTAAAATTCTATTATTTTTACATTGATTATCAATATATGTTATAATGACTCCTGAAATGACAATATTCTACAGTGATAATGCAATTAGCTACATAAAAAGACAGCATGGATATTTATTTTTATATATGTATATATATATAAACCAAGGGTATAAATAACCTATTTCTTCAACATGTATTTTTAAAGGTTTCTCTTTTTAAAGAAAATTTCACTTGAGACATTTTTACCTTTAGGCTCAAAATATTCTGGAGACAAGATCTGAGCATAAGAACTTTAGGAGTAAATGAAAATTAATTCAAGAGGTTCTAGGAAGCTAAAAATATAAGTGCTAATGATTTACCAATAGTAAGCTCAAGCAAGGAGCCTACCACATAGGTTCTCTGTCCTAGGAGACATTTAAATCCTCTTATAGCATCAGTCCCCAACTTTCTGGCACCAGGGACAGGTTTTTCCATGGGGGTGGGGGGGACACGCGGTACAGAAGGCAGCGCTCAGGAGAGCTTTACTAGCAGCCAGGTTGGGTACCCCTGTCTTATAGGATATTGGAATCTCTTTCCTGATTGGCACAACTGTCTAGGTGTCAGCATTCCGGTTAATAACTAGTAGACATTGATACATTTTTGCCATAAATAAAGATGCAGTTCAAGGGCAAAGGCCACAAGCAGTCCAAGAATCTCTGGCCATTTATAACCATGTACTCCCATTGTGTTTGGTATATTTTGATGAGATTCGTTACTACCTTTTGGGCTATTTATCCAATTACCTAGTCAATAAACTACTTTGTAACAGGAAAAATAGAGCTGACAGCAAGGAAACTGAGGTTAAAGTTATATTGTGAAAATCTAATTAGGAGAATCAAAAGGTAATGTATGATAACTGAGGTTTGTAGAAATATCAAGAACACTGATATGGACAAGCAAAGCCTCATGCATCTCTGAGAAGGAGACTTTACAGACATGAAATTGAGAACTATGTCTCCAACAGAGTCTAGAGAACCAGAACAAGTCTACCCAATTTTGGTGGAGATGGATAAACCTTAATACCACAGTGAGGAGGGGACCAGCCATTATAGCCATCCAACTTAGCTCTACAATTACAGGCAATCATCCAATCCTCATGCCAGTTTTTCTGTGGAGTGAAAATGCACTGTCTAGGCTACAGGAATGTAGAGTTTGCTTGACAGTTTTTAGTTTCCTTAATATATTTATTTCTTAGCCAAAAAGCATTTGAGACACTTTATAAAGAAAAAAACATATAGCAATGATGGTTCCGACTACAAGTTAAACTGACATATTCTGATTTATATAACAGCCTGGTAGTTTTTTTTTAGTTAATGAGAGCCAGTCCCTGAGAAGATAATCACTTATATGTATACAAAGAAAAACAAGGTTATGATCCAGAAAACTTAGACCCAGAATCTGGAACATTCCAATCCTATTACATCCTATGAGGAGACCTCTGGTCACTAGCTTTATTGCATAAGTCTCTAATTGTAATACTTTTGAAAAAAATAACAACAAACAAAAAGACAGGTATTATAAAATAGATAGTAGGTAAGATATGGAAATACATTTTATTTACATAATTAATATCAATCAAGAAAAGAAAAAGGAATTGACTGGTGAAGGAAGATGGATCTGTTCTTTTAATATGGTTTCAGCTTCAGACCTTGAAGTTAACACCAAATGATTATACTGTACTGTAATTGTTTTTATTTAGTTGAAAAAGACTTGGAAACTTAGTATTAAAATCTAAAACAGCTTTGTTGTTCACATTGGTAAATTTTTAAAACTTCTTTTGAAATTCAAAATTTATTTGAAAAATTTTAAATACAAATTTTGTAACATTTGCTTTAAACATATAAATGCTAAGAAACTATAATTATAGTTGCTTATCCCATTAACAGAATCATTTATCAAAATCTCCAAAAATTTATCTTTAAGCCAAGAGCAAAAATTACTAAGAGAGAAAAAATCAGGAAGACTTCTAAAAAATGATTTACCATATTTCATCTAATCAATGATGTCATTGATTATAAGCATAATTTTATGTACTATTAAGAAAGAAAAAATGCTGCCAATTAAACCATGACATGCTGATTGTAACACACATCTGATGTCAAAGATATTAGAATATGCTCTGAATTTATAAAATGTGGTTTGTCATTCCCCAAAATAAATAAGTTATTTATTCATTTATTTACCATGTAGTAAGTAAAATTTAACTTATATAAAAAAATTTAACATATTTGCAATAAACCTAGCCAATAAATAAAATATAACCAAAAACTTACTGACTAAAGAAACCATAATTTCTAATGAGAAGAATGAAATAAAGACAGCTTTAAGAAATCCCTGATTTATTCAACTTTAAGGGGCTTTAAAATGTTACTAACTTTTGAGCCCTGGCTGGTGTGGCTCAGTGGACTGACCACCAACCTGTGAACCAAAGGGTCACTGGTTTGATTCCCAGTCAGGGCATATGCCTGGGTTGCGGGCCAGGCCCCCAGTAGGGGGTGAGCAAGAGGCAACCAAACATTGATGTTTCTCTCCCTCTCTCCCTTCCTTCCCCTCTAAAAATAAATAGAATATTTTTAAAAAATAGTGTTATTAACTTTCAATGGGAGAATAAGACCCAAAAGTTGAGAGTAATTTTATTTTTAATATTACTTTTATGGCTCATATCCAAGTTGATATAAATTAAATTAAGAGGACCTGAATTATTAATTTTTTCAGTGGTAGGTATAATCGTACATTGCTAAAAAACTCAAGGAATCTAAACTTACCTTCACCTACAACCCCAAGGATCTCAAATTTATTCATCACATTACCAATGTTAGGAATCTTCATGAAGACAAACTCCTCTTTTGATGCGAGCCACAGAACATGGCATCAAAAATAACTTCTGAGAAAGTTGTAAAGTAGAACACAACAGAGCCGAAGAAAGAAATTCTCATAAGTTGGCAGGAACTTTCACATATTTCTTCTAATGTGAAGTAGTAAATGATTCCCTGAAAGAACAAACAATTAAAAGCCATATTTTTATATCTCAGTAATCTGATAACCTGTCCTAGCCTATTTTTTTGTACAGTTCTTTTGAAACCAGGTTAATGTTTTATATATATAAAAAAAGAAATAATCAATAATCAGAAGAGAGAAGAACCCAAACTGGAACACAAATGAACAAATGAACTTAACTGTATTTGAAGTGAGTTAATAACCACACGAAGGGGGGCAAGGGAAAAAGAATTAACCTTAGGTAACTCTTGAAAATGATATTTTGACAACATACTCTGCTTGAACTAAAGAGCAAAATAAATACAAACACACATTTTTCAAAGATTTTATTTATCTATCTTTAGAGGGGAAGGGAAGGAGAGAGGGAGAGAAATATCAATGTGTGGTTGCTTCTCGTGGGTCCCCTGCTGGGAACTGGCCTGCAACCCAGGCATGTGCCCCGACTGGGAATCAAACCGCAATCCTCTGGTTCGCAGGCCCGTGCTCAATCCACTGAGCTACACCAGCCAGGGCCAAACACATATTATACTCTACTTAGATATTTGTTTTTACATGGATATGAAACTTCTTTATTGTAGAATTGAGTAAATAAATAAATATATTATGGATAATGAGAATTTAGTCCCTTATTTTATTGTCAGATAAAAAGAAGTTATGAATATGAAAAGGGGGAAGGCTTGGAATTAGAGCTAACCATAAAAGCTCAGTTCCTAATATAGAGAGGTATAGAAACAGGTATAAACGTATGTATAAATATACATACACATATATATTCCTTAGCTCTGTCTGATGAGGGGGCCTGGAAGCAATGACACTCCAGTAGCCATGAGCACAGCTAATGCACCAATAAAAGGAACCCAGGGTTTCTTGAAGAAATGGCTGATTTCCAGGCCAGGGCAGAAAATAAGGAAATTCTCAAAGAATAATGGAAATGCATGTCTAAAGGACACAGGAGTCAGCTTGAAGAGACATCCACTGGTCAAATGAGGAACATTTGAGCAACAAAATAAAAACAATAGCACATTATAATCCAAAGAATAAAATAAAAACGTACCAGTCCTTACTGACATAAATGAGTGGGGGAGAATAAAAAGCTCTTTCTTATAGTATAATTCCAAACAATTAATGGAGTGAAGAAATGAGAAAAATTGGCATTTGGCAACCACCCTGGCTATAATTATTTCAGGCAAGTATCATCAATACTTAATAAAACTAGTGGTTCAAAGTTTGATGGAAAACAGAATATTATCTAGTCTCAAAGTTGCTCTCTCTAAGATACCTATCAATTACAAAGTAAAAAATAGTAATTTCATAGTGAAGAATCCTGCCAGTACTACTATCTTAAGTGAATAAAGTTAACATCATTAGTAATAGGACAAGTCAACACCATATGCCTCATGATAGGATGCATCACAGCATACCCCTGTGGCATTCCTTCTAAAAAGGTAAGACCTGAATCTAACCAGAGAAAGCAGCAGACAACTAAGGACATTCTACTAAATAACTCACCTGTACTCTTTAAAAATGTCTATGTCATGAAAGACAAAAAACAACTATCTGTTACGGGAAAGAAAATTAAGAGTCATGAAAACTAAATTTAATGCATGATCCTGGATTGGATTGTAGACAAGATAAAAAACTGCTATAAAGGGTAACTGAAAATTTAAATGTCTACAGATTATATAATAATATATCAATTATAATTTTACTTTGATAATAGTATAGTGGTTATGTAAAACAATTCTATTTTAAGAAACGATGAAATAGGTGAAGTTGGTCAAAAGGTACAAAATTCTATTTAAAAAATAAAATTGCTAATAGAGTAATTCTTAAAAGTCTTTTCATCACAGGAAAAAACTGTACTGTGTGTGATGATGGATGTTAACTAGACTGCGGTGATCATTTCACAATATATGCAAATATTAAATCATTATGTTGTGTATCTGAAAGTAATATGATATTATTATGTCAATTATATTTTGATAAAATAAATAAGGCACAGCTAAAAATCTCTAAAATAAGGCAGTCTAACAAAAAGATTAACAAAAAAAAAAAGAAAGAGGAAAGAACACCAAAGTTTTTGGAGATAAAGTTTGCAACTTGAACCATTCAGAAAAAAAAAGTGTTTGTGAAGAGAGAAAAAATGATAAAATAAATATAGTGAAATGTTAATTTAACAGTTGGGGAACCTGGGTTAAGGGTCTAGGAAACAGAAAGTTCTTTGTATTATCTTTGTAATTTTTCTCTAAACCTGAAATTATTTTAAAATAAGTTCTTTTGTTTAAAAAAAAAAAACCCTATCCTACCATTTAAAAGACTAACAGCCGTATCAATGTAAAATATTGGTTAAAAGATAAATCAAAACCAGTAAAGAAAAAAATTTTTTGCTGCCAATGAAATTTGAAACTTTTAAAAAAATGAGTACCTCATATATGAAGAAATGTGCCTTTTTTGTACACTGATAGCAGGAATGTAAACTGAGGCAAACTTTCTAAGGAGTAATATGTCCATAATTAAATACTTTTAAAACATTCCTATCCTGATAAAAGTATCTGACAAAAACCTACAACATCATTCTTAAATGTGAAATGTTAGGCCCAGTCCCTTTAAAAATTAAGAACTTGACAAAATGTCCTACAATTAATACTTACTAGCATTATTATTAAACATTATCCTGGTGGGTTCTAGCCAGCTCAGTAAAATAAGAAAAAAATGAATAAAATATATAGGATTAGAAAGAGGGGAACAAAATAGGATTTACAGATATTATTTTCTACATGGAAAATTCAGAGGAATTTACAAATTATTAGAATCGTAAGTGTTGGCAAGGTAGCTGAATATAAGTTTAATATACAAATATCAACTGCATTTGTAAACAGCAACAAGAAACAAAATACAATTTTTCAAAAAATCAAATTTACATAAAAATTGCTTAGGATTTAACATAAAAATATTCAAAGCCTCTATTTAAATTTATATATGTGAAGATGACCTAAATAAATGGAGTAATCCCAATTTTAAGTTCAGAAGATTCAATATTCTCCATATTAACCCATGGACATGCAATCCCAATCAAAATCCTAGAGTTTTCTGATTAAGAAAAGTTCATTCTAAAATATACATCGGAGAGCAGAGTTCCAAGCAGAGGCCACATATCCCTGATAAGAAAAGCAAGAAGGCTCAGGCTTGAGCGTAGGATCTGGCAGTATGCCCTACCAAATATATTGAAGGTCAGAACTGAACTACAGAAATTTAGACAGGATGCTCCTGGCACAGATATAGATAAATTAACCAGCAGAACTGATGTAAGAGCCCAGAAGCAGACTGTACTTACTTAAATATCTCCACAGCTCAATTCTCACCTCCCCCTGAATTCAGTCTGTTCTCTACACAGGCATCTTTTGGAGAAGTAAGATCATGTCACTTCTCTGCTCAAAACTCTCCAATGGCCTCCCTTATCATTAAGAGTTAAAGTCCAACTCCACAAAAGCCACAGGGCCTTGACCTACCATCCTTTGACATCATCTCTGACTAGTCTCTCTTGGCTTGCTTCACTCTAGCCACACTAAGCTAGTTTCAGTTCAATATGTAACAAGAAAGTCACAGTTGTCCCTAATCCTAAATATTTGTCACTCTAACATTTACTTTAGGTCAGATTCTTTCTTATCATCTGATGTTTCATTCAACATTTACGAAAAATGTTTTTGAAATAAGGCAAGAGAAAGCAGGCTATATTTTAGAAAAGTTTAGTAGAATCACACATTTTTAAAGGATAACTGTTACACTTAGAAAAAATGATGTCATAATTTCATAAGAAATTAATAAATATTCAATTCATTCAATAAATAAATAATTACTGAATGCCTAACATGTTTCAGGAAATGGATAAAAAATACACAAGACAGTGGTGAACAAAACAGGCAAAGTCCTTGCTTCATGGAGCTTTACATTTTGCTGAGGGGAGAAAAAAAATACAAGATTATTATTAGATACTGGTACATGTTATAAAGGACAAAAAATGATTATTCAGAGAGGCCTCTCTGAAAAGGTGACATCTGAGATGAAATATCAATAACAAGGAGCCAGTCATATGAAAATCTAAGTTAGTCACACTCCAGGTAAAAGATGCTCAGAGTGTTTGAGAATGAATCATCCAGGAAACATGTAAATATTCCGTTCTCTTGCCAATAATTGTATATGACTCATTTCAAAGGAAACTAGAGATAAAAATTTTATTCCCTCTGAGGAGACTCAGTACCCCAAAAGTTCCCCATGTAAGTCTATGTAAAGAACATTTGGTCCCATTTACTTATTCTCTGTGGAAATCAAAACTACTGAGTAATGCAAAGTGGGATTCAGAATTTAAATGTGTGAGTAAATACATAACATAGGTGTCAAGAACAGTCTTTTAATTACCAGTATTCACAGTGGGTGGGGGGAGTGTCAAATGGAATTTAACTATGTAAACAAAAAGGGGGCAATTTAGTAGAGCCAACAAGCTCAGTGACCAAAAGTCAGGTCCCAGGCCTACAGCTTCCTTAGCAAAATTCAATCTTAACATTCGATGAGCCTTGTCCATTGTTCTCATGCATCTAGGATAAACACCTTGGAAGTATCAGAGTAATTTCCTCTTCCAGACCCCAGGAAGGCACAACAGCTGGCACCAGAGCACAAAACTACAAGACTCCTCACTGTTATACACGGTTTACTGTACATGTTAGCTGTCCTGTACCCACCAATGTAAATGAAATGTGTTTCTCCATTTTGCTTTTTATCCAATCCCAGAGATTTCCCCATTTTGCTTTCTCTTGTCTCTTTAATGTACCACCAATGGGTTTTACGTAACCTTCCTTATGTTTTCCCCTTTGGGTCTAAATGTAAAAAAATGAGCTGCAAACCTGCCCTTCTCTGCAGCATTTTCTCAATCCCTTTGAGATCTTGCTTCTGGGCACGTCCTCAAAATTTTGGCTCAAATAAATTCATATAAAATTTT